AATACGTAATACCCCGCCCAAATATTATCTCTTATCAGCTGGGCTATATATAATTTTCTATATGTTGATGTTATCTATATTGTATCTGTGGGTTGCGTACCTTTTCTTTCCCAGTTTCTGAGTCAATTTTTATTTTTTTATTTTTTGCTCGTTTTCATACAGAAACATCAACCAGCAATATTTTAATTAAATGTACACCTTTTATAAAAAGACATTCACTTACATTTTTACCTTTTTTTTTTTTTTTTTTTTTTTTTTTTTTTTTTTTGCCTGGTATTATTTCATTATATATGCGAATACATTGAAATTTAAAGGCGAAAAAATGTTAGGCTTTAGGTAAGCATTGCCAAGATAGGCCGATGTGTATCTTCTCCTCCAACCTGACACGCCCAAGAGAGTGGCAATGGTGTGGGTGCTGATTAGAAAAGGCGAAGCAAGAGAGGAAGAGGGTGCCATGCAAAATAAAAAAAAAGCTGGGGTAACTTCAGGTCTACAAAGGCCCCGCATCACTACGACTACTACTAATACTACTACTACATCTTCTAAATCTATTCCGAGAGCCCGTGTTGTTGATGTTGCCGTGTAAAAGCACTTGCTTCCCAATCAGGGCCTCTTCTTAGGAAACATCGGGCCCCCACGAAAGCCTTATTAGGTGATGTAAGTAGCAAACTCAGAGAGAAGAATGGTGAAGCGAGAAAACAGCGTTACGCTCTTCATATAAACATAAACACATTTGAACCTAATTATATCACACACACACACACACACATATATATATATATATATATATATATATATATATATATAATTTATATAGATACACACAGGTAAAAAGTGTATCTCAGGTAAAAGTCAACTCTTTTCTTTCTTTCTTTTGCAAAAATATGTATGCGTTTTTTTTTTTTTTTTTTTTTTTTTTTTTTTTCTTACATCACCAAAGAGATTTACCTTTTCAAAGCTATTTCGGGATTTTTAGCATTTATATAATAATATTCGAATGGCTGATTTTCACAGCTGTAGTATTTTAAAAGAAGATTTCGGTCGATACAGAAACCTACTAATTTTAAACCTAAAGGAGTGATACACGATACACCTGTAGAGGGCCGAGAAATATATCAGCCGTCAAAATCTTGAGGCTAAAACAAAAATCAAGACAATAGTCCCCAAAAAGTTTTAAACAATAAAAAGATGGAAACGTAAAAATACTTCATACCAGGCATTTTTGTGGGTGGAGATATTTTTTTAAATATTAACTCGTCATCTAATTTAAAGCAATAAATTATATACACACAAAAGTAAAAATTTTATCTCAGGTAAATGTCAACGATTTTTTTTTTTTTTTTGCAAAAAAATAAATTTGTACTTTTTTTTCAACGTAAATCACCTGAAAAAAATCCCCTTCTGCCTCCCATCAGCGTGATTAATACTAACCTCCATGATTATAAATCGTTGCGCCATCTTGAGTTTACATTCTCGGCTATCATGATGTGGAAAGATTATATTGAATCCATTGCTAGGTCTGCTAATAAAAAAGTTGTTTCACTGTATCGCGCTTGACATTTTTTCTCTCTTGAATCTATCTTACATATTTATAAGGCTACCATTCGTCCATGCCTTGGATATTACAGCCACATATGATTCAGTGCTCCTGTGTGTACGAGCGATTCTTGATAAAAATCCAAATAAGAATCAGCAAAATTATTGGTCCTGTTGTAAATTGTATATATATACATCTTTGAAACACTGACATGCAGTCCCGGCTCCAGTCATTTTCTAATTGCCTTAATAAAGTTTCCCCGAGCCTTTTCTATAAATACTTTCCTGGTAATTGTTCAGATGAACTCTTCGCTTTGGTACCTAGATTTTATGAATTTAAGCGCAGTGCTAGATTGGCAGCAAGGTCTCACCAATTCATGGTTGAATTGGTTAGATGCAACCGTAAGTTCTATGCTAACAGTTTCTTTTCTCGCACTTCTCACTTGTGGGACTCACTGCCGGCTTTTTTTTTTATCTTTAAAAATGCAGTGTCAATCGTTATCTACTGTCCTCTTGATTACTCTTCTATTGCTTTCGCTCCTAAATAATGTTTCTCTTTTTTAATTCTTTCTCAGTAAACCTTCTAAGTGACTTTACTACCTTGTATGGGTGATATGTTTTGTTTTGTTTTGTTTTTTTTTTAAAAAAAAAAAAGAAAGAAAATAAGTAGAATTGTTTCTTTTTCAAAGATTTTTAGCCGACATAATCTAATTCAAATGGCATGTCTTCCAATTTGTAGTTTTTAACACAAAATTCCAGTTGATGCAAAACCTTGCCATTTGAAACCTAAAGAAATGATACACCATACACCTGTAGAAAGACAAAACTTTTATGTGCTAAAATTGCATGTCAAAGACAATATTTAAAAAAAAATGCATACGAAAAGAGTGCTCAGTATCAGAGACAGAGTTTTTGTAGATATAGACAGTGTAGGCATAGGAAGAAGTTAATGATCAGAATTGAATTAGACCAGGGAACAATATATGTCTATATCTCTGAGATGAGGTATTATGATTATTTACATTATTCGGTCAGTTATCCTTATCTTCATTGCCATCAATCTACCCCAGTGGACGAAATAAAGGGTTCGATTCGAAATTCCAATCACCTGAAGAAGGCCAGAGTGTAAACGGTCGAAACGTTGTGAATATGGCAATGAAGATGACGATAACAGTGAACAGTAGCATTAAAAAATTTCTCAATACACATATAAAAAGATGAAAATTTAACATGTAGAGCATTTTAAGTACAGAAAATCGGGAAATCAGTCGAATCCGCTACCTTGGTTTCAAACTTACGGTATCTTCAGGCAATTTTGGTCAATTGATTTCCTATCGCTTTATTTTTTACAAATTAAAAATTTATGAACGCCATATTAAAAAAACAAAAAAACATCAGTAAATAAGCGCGGGAGGTGTGGTGTGGTAGAAGTTATGTACGAAGCGAAATAAATTCTACTGTAAAGGATGTGAAAATTCGCATAGCTAAAGCCTTGGATGTCTTGAATAAAATGGATGTAATCTGGAAATCTGATCTACCAGACAACCTCAAACGGAGATCCTTTTGCGCTACTGTCGAGGCAGTTTTAATGTATAGCGCCCTTGCTTGGATATTAGCTAAAACAATTGAGTCTAAACTTGATGGAACCTACGCTTGGATGCTGAGAGCTCGACTTAAACATCTCTTGGAGGCAACACCCAACAAAATCACAGCTCTATCTCTGAGATTTCTACAATCTTACGTGAACGCAGAAATCGCTTTGTAGGACATTGCTGGCGAGCAAAACAAGAACTTGCGTGTGATCTACTGTTTTGGACACATAGTCTTGGAGCAAGATGGGTTGGTCGCCTAGCCACCACCAACATTACTCAGGTATGGATATTTACTTGAACTGAGTCAGGTTGGGACACAAGGTCAGTTTTTAACGTGATGACCCGAGTGTTTTCACTCGGGCCGCTGGTCTAAGCTGGTCATATCTTGTCCAAGCTGGTCAGAGCTGGTCTAAGCTAGTCATAGCTGGGTTTGGCTTGTTATAGCTGGTCCAAACTGGTCAGAGCCGATCTAAGCTGGTCAAAGCCTTGATACACCTGAACAGAGACGGAGCCCTGTGTCAATTAAAAAGATTTATTTGACCCCCCCCCCACAACTGAGTCAGGTTGTGACACAAGGTCAGTTTTTAACGTGGCGACCCGAGTGTTTTCACTCGGGCCGCTGGTCTAATCTTGTCTTAACTGGTCATATCTTGTCCAAGAGGTTCAGAGCTAGTCTAAGCTAGTCATAGCTGGACTTGGCTTGTTATAGCTGGTCCAAACTGGTCAGAGCCGGCCCAAGCTGGTCAAAGCCGTGATACACCTGAACAGGGATGAAGCCCTGTGCCAGGTAAGGAGATTTACTTGATCCCCCACTGAGTCAGGTTGTGACACAAGATCAGTTTTTAAGGGGGGCGTGTGATTTCACTCGGGCCGCTGATCTAAGCTGGTCATAGCTTGACCAGGCTGCTCAAAGCCGGTCTAAGCTAGTCGTATCCGTGATACCACCAGCACAGAGACGGAACCCTGTGCCAGGTAAGTATGCTACATTACTCAGGTATGTTATGAGACAGAATTTCAACCTAATGACCTTCCGGCTTTGACATAGAACCGTGATGGTCGACGTGGTACACTGATGAATGGCTGATCTAGATCGATTGAATTATAATCAATTTATTTCATGAAGGTAGTTTCTTCAGTGTGGTAGAAAAAGACATAATTTCGGGGCACTCAGTGAAAATCAATAATATTTCTGGTTTTATCATGAATAGTCCAGAGTTGCATATGAGGAATACACATGGCATCTCAGCTCGTTATACAGAACCAGATACTGGGTCATCTCATTCTTTGGTGGTACCCTTCTCTAATTGACCATGTCTTCGTGGATGTAGCCGCACTCAACACGCTTGGCCAGTTGCGAGTGTTCTCCAAGACGGGTTGCCATCTTGTCTGTCCTGCTTTTTTGCCAATAGCTGAAAGCGTGGGGAGAGAAGTGAACGTAGTGAATTTAAACTATGCCCACCTATTCCTCAATACGAGCGGCTACTCTGTCGTGCCTTCTCGACAACAG